CATTTTTTTTTTTGGTTGCAGCCATCATTGTTGTTTGGTGGGCCCAGGCTGGGGATTCGAACCCGCCACCTTAGGTGTATGTGGCTGGCGCCTTAGCCGTTTGAGCCACAGGTGCCGAGCCGAAGACCCCATTTTCAATTTTCTGTGGTCACTACCCACCTATCTGCAGAAATGGGGCTCCATAAATATAGGAATTTTCATGGATTTTAATAGTTTTATGAACAACAGAATATCTGAAGTCAAACCCACTCTAAATTCTGATTGTGTGAAATAGGACCAAACCCAACACACTGCCTGAATACCATGGTGGCAGCTGCCGATTTGAGGTCAATGGGACAGAGAACAGATGTCTCCTCTATGAATAGCTTCCTTGAAACCTGCCAACGCAAATATGCGACTCAAGAGCAGACACTTACGCTCCAATGGGATGGTGCAGTAGATGGCACCCAAGCAGCTCTGGGGACAGGCCCATGGGCAGCCGTCCTGGGAAGCTCCCGACAAGGCCATGCTCCCTGGCCGGGCTCCAGTGCCTGCCCCTTCCTCCTTAGATACCTCAAAGGTTCAGACAGCAGGTATTTTTAGGGTGTTTACCACATCCGCCAAGAGTAGGGGGAGGAAGATCTGAAATGGGTGCTGGGTTATATTTAGAACTTTCCATCACAGCTGTGCGGTGGCTGCCGTGTGTCAGGCTTGGAGAAGCCTCGGCCCCAGCCATCCCCTGTGCTGCCGCAACTCGACTGTGACACTCAGAACAGCAGGCGAGGAGACCCGCCAAGGAAGAACCCCCATCCTCCATCCACCCTCCTTCTCCACAACAATAATTCCCTTCATTTTTGTGGGGGTAGTTTATTGCTCTGGATTCCGGGTTGTTGGGTTTTTAGATACCAGATACCCAACCACGAGCCAATCCCGGGAGAGAATTGGAGTTAGTAATTATAGCCTCATCCCAGAGCCCAAAGCTCGGCATCTCATATTCTCACCATTTCCAAAACACGAGAAACCACCCACACACCCACTGGGTATTTTTGTACCCATTGAAAACCACATATGAAATGAAAGGTTATAAAACAGTTTGGTCTTGACATTTTTGAAATTTAAAGTTTTATCCTTAGAGTCTTTTAACTTTATAAAATATGCACATTTTGTAACATAGTTTTTTTCTAAATTTCATAATTCGAGCCTAATTCTCTGTTCAGCATTAAAGGAAGCTGGAAAGTCACTGCCCGTCAGTATGTGATGGGGAAAGAGAAATAAAAGTTCCTCCTCTGGTTCAGGAACAGGCTAACCAGGAGGAGGCACGGGAGGAAACGCAGAGAGCAGCTCTGGACGGCTCGCCCAGTACCTCACATACAGTCTGAGGTGAGTTCCCACATGCCAGCATTTACGATACTGTCACTGTCTGAGGAATATGGTGGTCCCCTGAGCCGACACCCACGTCATTAACACTATCAACCCTCTGGAAATGGCTCTCGGAACTTTATCTCCCTTACTGAACTCTGCTCGGCAGTTCTCTTGGGTTGGCCTATCTGTACTTCAAACTGATGTTCACAAAACTGAAACCAGATTCTCCTATCCCAAACTCACCCCTTTCTCCAGAGTTCCCTATTTCTAGTAATGGTATTCACCTGTGTTTGAAACTACCTCTCTTCCACCGTGAATTCCAAAGGCTTATCTATGCAGACCCTCTCTGTCTCTGCTCCTGATAATTCAGCAGCTTCCCAACTGGCCTCCCTGACCTGGTCCCAACCCTCTCTTACACCTCCTCCCCCACCTCCCTGCCAAAGGGATCTTACTCAAAGGTCCCCAGTCCAGACTCCTCAGCTTGCCCTTGCAGGGTCCCAAGAGTTGCTCCCCAGTCTCCAGACCTCCTGAATGGAGCTCCTTCCAGTGCAGTCCACAGAATCACCCCCTACTCCTGAAGCAAACCCAGGTTCCTTCCACCAGCTTCTCACATGATTTCCTCCATCAGAAAGGGGCTCTATCCAATGTTTGACATCCAGACCTTCTGGTTATCAAAGAAATTTCACTTCTATCATTGCTCTTTATTAGGAAATCTTAGCAAACATTTCAGTAAATATCCCTCTTATCCATAAGAGGGAAATGCTGATTGAATAAAGGCAGCTCAAGCTATCACTAAATAATTACATGATCATCATAACCGCTAACATTCATTGACTATTCCCATTGCTCCAGAAAACTCCTAGACATAAGTGAACTAATTTAACAGTTCTATGAAGTAGTTACCATCATTACCCAACCTCAACTTATAGATGAGAAAATAGAGGCACAGAAGCTTAGTGACTTGCTCAAGGGCTCACAGCTGAACTTTGAACCAGGAAGTTGGGTTCCAGAGTCCTCACACAGTCAGTGCTCTCTCCTCACACGTTAGCAAGCTCCCAGGCAGCCTCAGACAGTGCAAGGATTTCAGCTGCTGTAAAACTCCAATACATTAAAATAGAAGGAAAAAAATATCCTCAAAAATCACAATTCTCTGGCAACGATAGAAGGTGGAAATTGAGAATTAGAACTGGCAATGCAGAGACCAGACTGATTTTTGCAGCTCTGGCACATGAAACCCACAATATAATGCTTAGTTTTAACCATTTTTGGAAGGAAAGTGCCAACATGGAGCCACTAAGTAAATAACTATAAGACCTTAATTGATTTAGCCTTTCATTTGCCAATTTAGTGAGGATTTGTAATTAGATGACTTCTAGAGCCCACTCCATTGTGAAAGGGGTTATAACTAACCTTGATGGCGTAAAATAAAATCACCAGTTTTTCATCTGACTTCATTTTTCTTTCTTTTTTTTTGAGCGCCTCCTCTGGATCTCGGATACCATTATTTATTTGTTCAAAAACACTACTCAACGCACTAGAAAAGCTAAGATATGTTACTTTTATTATTCATTGATGAACACTGTCCCTGCCCTTAACAGGTCAGTGTAACAGAGGTGTGGAGAAGATGTAACACTAGTAACAAAAGTGACCAGCACTATGAATGACTATGGGAAGGCATGGGGGGCAGGGCCAGCAGCTGTTGGCTAGGGAAATTTAAGAGGCACCTTTTAGGAAGGCTGGAGGTTCCCAAATCTTTGTGTGAACAAAAGCCGGGCTTCCAGCAGCCTTCTAGAAAAACACT